TCTTTCCCTTCCAGTGCTTAAAGACAGAGGTTAACTGGCCATCCTGCTGAGTGACTTTAACTGTAGCCTGTCAAAAAATGTTGTCTTAGGAGAGAGGAATATTTGAGGGACTGAAACATTTCATTTCCCCTAGAGAGAATCTTGCAAGACTTCCTAGGAAAGTTGCATGAACTAAGTCCATTTAAGGAAGAAGGAGATTCCTCAGGACCTACAGGGACTCAAGAAAGATGAGTGTAAATTCAGTGTATTCAGTAACTAATTTTACAAGGAGGAAAATACTCCACAGTCAGGAGGACCACAGCCTTAGCATGGCGGCAGAGAGCAGACTTGTCCCACCATGCCCGTGGCCCTCCAGAAGCAGCAATGCACTTTGTTTTCCCAGGAGGGAACACCTCCTTCCTGGCCACTGCTGTCTCTTGTAAAGCTGAGGAGTTGCTCTGTTTCGCTTACAGGCCAGCACAAAATGATTCAGGAAGACTCTCACCCCCAGAAGGAAGGATGGAGGTAACTTGTAGGGGTCTCCCAGGCTAGCTGAGGAGTCAAAAAGCCGAAGTGTTTTGGGTTGTTTTTCCCCTTGGAAAACACATTCCTCTTCCTTTCCCTAATGTGGCAGTCTAATGTTGCCAAATCTTCCTCAGGCCGCACAGTGTCCCCGACCTTGTCCTTCCTCTCTCCTAACTTTGGAAGGAGACCCAGGAGGTGCTCAAAAGCAGAGCACGAGTGACCTTAGTCTCAGCACTGTCCCGTGTAACAGATGCCCCCGTTCAAGGAGGATCCAAACAGCAGTTTGTAGCTCTACGTTACTGACTCTGCCTATGTGAAACTCCCTTCCTGTTCCTGTTACTTGTCCACTTACAGGGCAAGCATTTTGCAGCAGGGACCTCCCCTTACATTGTTTTTATGGTTCCTGGCAAATGCAGCTCCCAGCCCCTTGCCTGGCAGAGCCCTAGGCACTGCCATGATATGAAGAGAAGAGACGTGCCTCTCTCATAAGACGCTGTGGAGTGAAGCTGGAGAACAGAGAGGTTGGCAGAAGGATGGCCAATGCAGTGTATTCTCACCAGCCTTCCAGTTAACTGAGAGACAGCAGTTTTTGAGCAGTTACATGTTCTCCAGGTCTTTACACTCTCCAACAAACAGGGCCGGTTGTCCTTTCTTAAGGGGCAGTCAAGGCAGTGTGCCAGGGAGCTGTTCTCTGGTGGAGCTGTTTTGCTCTTTCTGCTTTTGGTGGTGTCTTTAATGCAAAATAACATTTGCTCAGACTGAAGGCATATTGGTGTTTGGTAGTGAGAATGACACTGGAAATGCTACAGTGGAACTAGAAAAATACAGCAGCAGAAGAAGGAGGAGGGAGCAGACACAAGGGTAGAAACCTAGGGACCAGGCTGTCATGTGCAGGATGTTGACAGACTTCATAGTCTCCTTCGATAAAAAAAACAAAGGAAGCAAAAAAACCTCACCCCAAACCAATATACTGTGCGTCTGGGAAAGTGAGAGTAGTGGTATCATTTGGTGATGGACCTGCTGGAGATCAGATTATAAAAGCTTCAATGTCGCTGAATGAAACTCAAATTCTGACTCTGGTAGGAAGTCTCTCTACTTTTCAGTGTAGTTTTGCAGAATTTTTAATCAGTGTTCACTATTTTTGCAGTGCTACATTCACGCAACTGGTCATCCTGTACATGAATGCACCAGAATAAGAAAAATATGATTGGTGGTGGGGGAGTTAGGATGAATTATAGTAATGTCTAGGTGTTAAACTTAAGGATTTACTAATTAAATTGTTAACATCATAATGATTTAATGTTGCCAAATCACAAGCAGATTTTTTGACAGCTTCTCTGTCTGTCACCACTGCATTAGCCGAATATCTCACTATCACTACCCTTGAGGGTAAGGAGGCACTATTGTTACGGAAACAAAGAAGTAAGTTGTCCAGATTCCACCTATCAGCCTGAATCCTAGAACATTGCCTCTTTCGGAAGCTAAAGACAGGACAAAATTTTCTAAGTGATAGTAACGATACTCCACCCATCCTTTATATCACTGAGGATATGCGATATTAATGATCACAAATTGTTCTCTGGAGGCTAATGAAATATTAGGCACAAGCAGTTCCTTCATACTCCTAGGGAAAAAAAAAGAAAAAAAAAACTGTCTAGACTGTGGCTCTAGTAGCTGTCTGTGATGGAGTTAAATAAGTGAGTGGAAAGTTTTCCCTACTTATGAAATGTTCAGACACATTTCATTAGAACAGAATAGACTTCACTGCAGATTTTAACTTGTGTGAAGCTCTTTTGGCTTCGGCAGCCGTGTTTTACAAGTAAGAAGAGTGGGAGTTGGCTTAATATACTTTGTGTGAGACTTAAAAAAGCAACCGAGTGAATACAGTTCTGCTACGCACCGGCTGTTCGAGGCACACGTTGGCGTTCACAGATAAAATAGCGCGAGCATAACCCCTGTGCCACCCAAGAAGAGGTGCCCTTTAGCAGGCAAACCTCACCGCGTATACTGCTGTACCAGAAGAAAAATAAAGAGCAAATACGTTTCTTATCTCCAAATGACTGTGCCGTGCCCCAGCTAGTGCAGATCTATGTATCTTCTCTGCTTGTTTCCCTGCAGCAACTGATTCTCTCTGTCAGCGAAATGCCCCGCTGACACCCAGAAAACAGCAATATTTCAGACTATGGACTGAATGGTCCTTTAAAATATGGAGTTACTGGAGTGGATTTTCTAGGAGGCCAGAGGAGGAGCTAAAAGATGTAGCAAGGATGCTGCATGGGGACAAATGCTCTCTGTCTGTGGTGGTGGGAGGAGCTCGCAGGAGAGCTTGCAGAAGCGCTGGGGAGGCTGGAGGACAATGTTGGCCCACACATAAATCATAAATAAGTATAAATTTGCCACATATATAATTAGGCTAGATACACAAAGATCGTGTCCCAGCTTTAGAGTAGTGAAGCTCTGGAAGAAACTCCTGGAAAGGGGAAAGACACCAAGAAACGGCAGAGCCTGATACATTTCTGCAGGGAACGGAAAGATGCGGTGGCCTGAGGAGGCTCTGGCTTCTGCTGTGGTCTCGCTGGCTGTTGCTTAGCCCTGTGGCCCTCCAGTTGCTCCTACTCTGATCCCATCTAAGGGTCTGGGCACAGACACGTGGGACGTGAAGCAGCTGCAGGACTGGACTGTGAACTCGCAGGACCCTCGAGTGACTTATTTTATCTTATCTCTTGCCTTCACTGGGCAATTTATATTGTGGCTGTTTTCATAGTGCCTTGCCTGAGTGTGGCTGCAGCCTCTGAGCAACACCATCATGTGCATAATAAATAAAGCAATACAGAAACTGTAAAGCTACGCTCTTTAAATTATTAACGACTGGACATCAAAGTGAATGGGAAAAACCTCTCTACATAAACAGGAAATACAGGATTTTGGACGTCACATCGGGCTTGCTAATATATTTTTAGTGTGTGTTTTGATCAATTTAGAATATACAAGTGAATCGTGCAAACAATCATGCTCATTTCATTCCTGAGTTAAAGTAATTGGTTTTTTGTCATGTGGGATGACAAACCAGCGCGAGACCATTTAAATGGATTCCCCATTACATTTTGTGGTTCCATTAACGTTGGCTGGTTTCCTGACAACCAATGTCAAACAGACGTACTCTAATAGCTGTTCTCATGGGATGGGTTTGAAGGCTCCCAGATAGCTGTTTTATCAAAGTTGATCATATTTATCATTTATAGACCTTTCTCACAGCCACATCCTCTCTCTTCCCCTCCCTCCTTCCTTTAGTAATACAAAAAAAAAAAAAGAGGAAAGAAAAAGGACGCCGCCATCGCAGAACGGGATGTGGATGCTTGAAGGTTGTGCGGCTTTAACGCACTCAGGCGTGCCTGTTCTAATAATAACACTGCAAAGGCCAAGCAAGAAAGATTTCTGCTCTATTTATTTGATAGATACCAGGGTTTCCCCCCGACAACTCCGTCTGCTTCCCTAGACGCGTGCCTCTCCCCACACCTCAGTGCCTGCTGCTTCTCAAGTCTCTATAGAAATTTATGTATGTATTACTGAAGCTAGCATTAGGTGCCAAGGAGGGGGGAAGATATTTTCCTACACTTCCTGGCTCAACGAGAAAGCACAATTTGGTGCACAGTGCAAAAAAGTGCAGAGCCTGGAGTGGATATCAGTGGAGCTAGGGCATGCTAAAGGGCAGAAAGCCCAGGGCTGCTGTGCCCCAAATGCCCGTGCAAGAGAAGCTGGACCAACAGCTGCTGGATCCTTGTCAATACATCTGGGGTCCAAAAGGCAAAAAAAAGGGCAGTTAAAGACGTGCAGGCAAGCAACTAAGCCTATTGCTGAGTTATTCTTGAGAGGCTCTAGGGACACAAGCCCTCACCTCACTGCAGGACCCGTGGATGCTGGAGGCGGCAAGACCCTTTTCCTCCAGCACTGAGGAGAGATTGTCCAGTCGTTTTAGCACATGCCATTTTTTTCTGGCCATCTGGGATAAAAACATGGCTTTTGTGCAATTCAGTGTAGTAACAAAGCTGGATATTGCCCCAGCTTTGCATAAGTAGGCCCCTAACAT